TGCATGTGCAAGAAGCAGAAGAGTGGAGGAGAAGAAGACCACAAGCCTCTGCCCCACATCATCCCCTTTCCTGTACTCAGTGGCAAAAGCTGCAGAAAACTCGTGAGGTGAAAGCGAGGACCCAGGAGGGAGAAGACCAGTGGTGCGACCTGTGAGCCCCCGAGGCAGACAGCCCGAGTTCCAGTCACAGCTCTTCCCTTCACTGCTGAGGGACGGTGAACCAGTGTGTCCTTCCTTTTTCTCATCTGTAAAGCCCTGGTACGACAGTGTCTACCTTGGATACAGTGATCACATAGGTTAATAGTCATGAGCATTTGCAGCACCTGGAACAAGGTTAGTGTTCAAGAAATTGAGAAGTTCTTACTCATGAGATTTCCTGGGGTTTTAATGGAGGCTTTCATGATCTTGGATATACGTACGGGTGTGGCTAGAACCTCAGACATAGGTCACATAGGCAGGAGTCTGTATCTTTCATCCTGTCCTGTCCAGCGTGGGAAAGGGACTCCGAGATAGCCCCACGTGAAAGTCTACTCATTTTACTAAGACATACATTTGCTTGTCTTAAGAAACTGGGAGAGGGTCGGGGTAAATTTGGTGAGGGTGTTGAGAAACCGGGAAAGACTAAGCATCTAATGATGTCATTTCACGTAGACTGAAAAATGCTTTGCGGAGAGCATTAAGGAAACCTTATCGGAATCCCGTGTGACTGCGTTTATTTTACTTCCTCGCACCTCCTCGTACACACACACAAACACACACAGACTGCACACGTTGTTGAGTACATATACAAGTGTAGCCTAGTGCTGTACTATACGGGTTCTTTTGAGGATTAAGTGAAATTATAACACATATTAAAAGCTCAGTAAAAATTTTGGCACGTAGAAGCCACCCAAGACATCACTGACAAAACTTTGGGAGGCCACACAGCAGGGTTTGAACTCTGTGATCTCTGAGTGGGATGATGGGTGATGACGATTCTGACTGTTTCTGTGTAGTATCTGATTTTTCTGTAGTTAGGCTCCGCCAAGAAGCTGAGCAGCACAACACGGTTCAAAGAATGAACCTGGACCTGGTTGGCCTGCACTTGAACCCAACATTTCCTGCCTTAGGTAGGTGACATCG